CACAATCCTACAGTAGAGATATATATGCTTGTCACTACAATCAATGAAGACGTTGTATGATTTTCTGTGTTTCTCTGAGGCTAAAATTCAGTGAGGGCCCATCCCACCCCACCACCAGGAGTAGCCAGGGGCATCAGGACAGCCCCAGCCTTGGCATCAGGCACCTCCTTGGGCATGGGGACGAGCCAAGTCCAGGCCTGAAAGTGGGCCCACAAGTGGGCCTGGCTTGGTGGGACCCACGGTTGGGCTGGGCAGGGCTGTGGGGAGCTGGAGACCAGCCCTGCTGCGGTGTTGCTGGGGCAAGGGCAGATGGTCCTGGGGGCTGACATGGGGTCGTGGGCTGTGGAGGAGGCCAGGCAGGGACACTCAGGGCTGGTGGTGCCACCAGGGCCCTGGCACTTGCATTGGTTCTCAGTTGGCTGTGTTTGTAACAGCAGTAATTTTTTGCTTTCATTTTGACAGTTTATGCAATATTAAAGGGTTGATTTAATTTTTCCTTTGCTTTCCCACTAGAGAACATAAGTCATACAAAGTGATAATTTTAAGCAAAAACAAAACCAGAAGCTAATTCTGTCTGAGAAAAAATATGTGACGACTTGGATAATTAAATTGGTACTATTTAGAATCATAATTTAATTACAAGTGTAGCTGAAAATATGTGTTCAGACCAGTTGAAATCAGGGGATTTATGATGTTAGGAGACATTAAACTGTCCTTCCTAAATTTTGCTTCTTTATACTTCTCTTGGAGATACATATATTTATATGAACAAATTGAAAATATCTTTATATCTTTATGAAGAGAATACCACAATGTAAATTGTAAATTTACAGTTGCAAATTTCTGTAACTTTGAATGTACCTTTCATTCATAAGTGCAGCATTTGGAGTTAAATAACAAAGCAGTATGAGATCAAGCAACAACAAAATTATTTGAACAAGTAATCTGGGGTATGATGGGACATTTAGAAGCAAATAATATACTCAATTTAAGTGATAAATGCTTAAATAGAAGCAAAGAAATTACTTGTGGTGAGTTTATAAAGCTGCTGGTGCTTTGAACTGGGTATCATCCCTTTATAACTTAGTTTCTTGCTTAGACTCGGGCTCATTCTTAAGACATCATGTTAGTTTTATGAGTCTTATTGCTTTGAGGCCAGTGGAGCTATGTCAGAGGAAAAAGTGGTATAAAAATACTAAAGATTTGCATCAATTTTATATTTCTTACATCTTGCTCTGCTTTCACAGTTAGCAAAAACCTGTAACACTCATTGTAGCTGAGAACATAGGAAACACATAGGTTTGAATGTGAGCTGAAAGAGGGAACTAATAAACAATATAGCTGCCATTTTATCAGTCTGCAAATGTCCTCAATCCTGAGTTTTGGCTTCTGATTAAAGGCAATTGTCCATACTTTACATCATTTCCTTTTAACATTCTTATGTGAAATTGTTATTGATTGATTTATTTAATATTCCTAGGTTCGGTTTATGTCTGTGGAAATTTCATGTATGCCTGTACTTTTTCAAGTAATAATTGGGAAGAGGGAAATGGAAAGTTTCAGTAATTGTTGAGACCGTTGATTGTAAGGGTTTCTGTACTACAGAGGGCATAAAAGCTAATCCTCAAAGCATTCTACACAAAATAGCTGAAATCTGTAAAGTGCAGATTATTTCTTTCATGTGGTACATGCTAGTTGCACATCAGAGACTTAGAAAATACATTTTTCTTTTAACCATTGGTGTGCAGAGTTCGCCAGTGAACTTATTGGGTGCTGTGCTTAACTTGTAATAATTTTCAAGTCATCATGGGTGTTTGCATATACATGAATATGTTGATGGATATATGGGTGGTTTTGTGGGTGAGATGACAAATAGTTCTTAATGCTTTTCAGCAGAATAGGTATTTTTTAATCTCTTTTCTTTTTATTTATGGAATGGCCTTTGTCTCTAGTCACGGTGCAGGAATTTAACATCATCCAAGACTTTTTCAAAACTCCCAGATGTTTGGTAAAATGGCTCACAGCGTTGGACCATGTTTTACAAAGGTCCATTTACAGAACAGAAGAAATTAAAGTAGAAATAGGAAATATCAGAAATATGTCCAGAAATATCCCAAAAGAAAGGTTTTCCGATCTTGCTTCTTTTTTTGTTTACCATGTTTCTTCTTTATTTCCATTTTTTCCATTTTTGACAATAATGATTTCCATTGTTTCCTCAAATTATTGCTTCTGCAATGTGATGATCTGGAAGCACTTCTTACAGACAACAGACTGTTAATGTGTGTCAGTATAATTCAATATTGCACGCATTTGACATTTCTGAACTTGTTGCTGGAAAGAATCATGCTTTTTTAAGCATGCTTTTTTAAGCATGGTGACACAGTTTTTAAGCTTGCTCTCCTTTTCTAGTAACTTCAGGATCTCTTGTATAATCAGCTTTTAAGATCCAGTGAAAGTCTGGACTATGAAAAGATTGAAAACTAGACTAGGCGAGTCTCTGAAAAATAGACTATGCAAAATATTATATTGGGAAGAGGATGCAGCAATGAACAACTAATAACACTTAAACATATATGTGTTTATAGATATGTCTATATATATCTTCATACTTTTACACATTTTTTTTACAAACAAAGATCCTTGGTTCCAAGGTGTTTACAGTTTCTAACATGGAAGAAAGAGAGGATGCATATAAGCAGTTCACATAAGGGAGATTATATAAAATATGCATGAGGGCAGAATGGGATGGATTTCTGGGAGAAATAGGCATTCAGGAAATATGATTTAAAGGAGAATGGAAAGAGAAAAAGTTCTTGCTAGGCAAGAAAAAGGAAACTTTTCCATCTTAAGAGATTTAATGAATAATAAAGTGGAAAGGATAAGAGGGAAGAAAGAAATGATTGGTTGAAGAAGAAGCTGTAAAGACTGCAGAAAGCGGAGACAAGCAGAAAGCAGTTTAGTTGGTGTTACAAAGCTAACATCTGTCAAAGGTTAACACGCGGTATTACATGAAATCATAATTATCATCTACACTTAGAAATTCCTATAGCAGTGTACAATCAATGCAGATATTTTCAGGAAAAACTACATGCAGAAAAAAAATTAATAATTACATAAGGGCTTGAGGATAAGAGAGAGGAACTGAGTTTTATGCAGTGAGTTCTGATCTGAAACACAGAGAAGTCAACAGCTCTGGACTACAAGTCAGGCCTCAGGTCAGGAAGTTAGTGAGACATTTAGAGCGGTTGATACATTCAGGGTTTCGATGAGCTGGAAGATGGAGATGTAAATCCCAGTGAAAATGGAGAGAAAAATGCTTCATAGCAGTGATTCTGTGGTGGAAGTAGTAAGAACAATTTAAGTACGTTGAGAACAAGAAACAGAATAAACAATGAGAGCCTAAGTATGGGGGAAATGAGGAGAGAAAATTAAAGGTGATACAGGGCTTTTGGTCCTAAAAATTGAGACTAAAAACACATTAAGAAAGAATCGCTCAGAGCTAAAACTGACACATTCAAATACGTGAATGTCCTTGTGTGCCAAAGGAGGGAAGAGGTGAGTGGAAAGAAGCCTATAAGAATGTCATAGGTTTTATTAAATGGGAAGAAATAGTAATGTTTAATAAGAGACAAGCCATTAATAGATAATTCTTACCATATGCTTAAACCTTGGCCACCTTTAAAAGGGTTTGCTGATTAAGTTGTGTTGATGGTGCATTCTCCACCTGTACCTTCTCTGAATGGAGATAAAGCATTTACCAGCAAGAAGATTATTTGAATATCATTTAAATCAGTTCTCTAAGTAGAAAAAGTTATACCAGTAGAAGACTTGTACTAGGATAATTGTGTCTATAGCAGGGTTTTTGCCTTTTTTAGTTATGTTGCTTGCAAGCATAAAGGCTTTTCTCTTTGTATCCCTAAGACAGCTAGGCCAACAGAAGTTGTGAGTGTAGGCTCATTGGCTTTGAGTGAAGCCACAGTGCTGATGGAGATTTCCTGACAACTGTCTCCAAATTCATTTGCATGCTTTTAATGGCAGTCATTAAGAGTGAGAGGTAACTATTTGTAGCTGCATCAGCAGAAAAGCAGGTTGATAAAAATTGTAGTTCTTCCCACGTTCTAGGGAGAACTATGCTCTTAATTCCTTTTAAGGAATTTTCTCTGTTCACAAGCAGATGCTTCAATTTATGGTAAGAAGAATAAAGCCCAGATTGCTTTCACAGTCTGCACTTTTAGCCCTTGCCAGAAATGAGTCTAGTAGTGTACAAAAGTGAATAGCAGCCTTGAATTTCATCACCAGGAAGGTAATCACAGTCTGAACATGTCAGTAAAGTGTATGGCATCTAGCAAGACATATTCTGTCTTACTGGCTGGTACGGATGTGAAAGTCTGTAGTGACTGAACATTAATCTGATTGCAAAGTTCTGGCAAATCGTTCCCCTGCCTGCATAGTTGGTTTGTGTATTACACCTGTGGGTGACAACTACATATTTGTGAAATGGGTATATTTGTGACAGCCAAAATTAAAGTGATCTGTGGGGCCTATGAAATCCTTGAGGGAATCAGGGAAAGCCTACATTACGCTTAGAAATTAGTCCAAACCTGCTGTGTGAATCAGAATTCAGCTTTGGGCAGCTCCAAGGTTTTGATGCGAGATCCTCTTTTAACAAGCTTTTTGGCTTACACTAAGGGGCTGGCAGTATCTGGCAGACAGTGCTGCCCTTTTCATCTTGCTTCTGCTTGCAGTCCTTTGGGGAAAGGGCTAAAATATTCGGAATATAACCTTTCTAAGCGTTCTTGGTTGAATGCTTGGAAATGTGGAAGGATTATGTGATAGATGGTTTTCAGCATTCTGGTGCCCTCAGAACCATGGCTAATCTTTCTAATCTTCTTTATCTAAGGTAAATCTGTATATTCTATCCTCTCTGCATCTATGTATCTTATGCTGAAACTGCGCTGACAGGAAGCTCTAAAATGCCTATTTTTGTTTCTTTCCAACAGCTGGCTGTCCAGACTCCTTGATTAAAGAGCTTCATCACTTCAGGATTCTGGGAGAAGAACAGGTGAGTTAGCAACTCAAAGGCAGTGTCTTAATGTCATGAAAGATAGACGCTAATGAGACAGTTTCGTCTCTCTCCAGGGAGGCAGAGTGTATCTCATGACCCCCAGTGACCTGAAATGTGGGGAAAAAAAACACACAGGAGATATATGTGAGATTTTTTTTTTTTTCATTCTATCCATCAGCCTTGACAGGTTATTAATTGGTACATCTGCTATCTGCCACAGCTTTTCGGCTTTTGACTGCAGCAGTAAACAGGCTCTCTAAAACAGCAGATAGACAAACAATCTGACTAAAGGATTGATACTTACAGCTACTCATGATATTATCCATCTCTTTTTGTGGCCTTTTTTCTCTTTTAAAAGTGTGTTTCTCATTCATAATTATAGCTGTTCTTTGCACTCAGAAAACTATTTCTGTAGAAGGATCTTAGGAAAGCATAAGTGAAGTATGCTTTACAACACTCACAAGACAGTCATAGTTATTGTTTTGTCAATAATGAAATTAACGTACAGAGATATTGAGAAAATGGCCTTAAATTTTGAGAGACAAGTTGAATTTTCAAATGCTCAGTGCCTCTTAAATTCAAGTTGTCTTTTTCTCTGAAGTATCTCTCCTAATGTACTGGTTATAAAACCTAACTGCCTGACATAGAGTTGCAGGTACTAGGGACCAAGGTCCTGAAAGCTCAGCATTAGTGTGTTGTACATGAGAATATCTGCATCTTTTAATGAACCTGGCGCCAAGACATTTGCACAAGGTTATATGAAGGCTGTTACAGAGGTAGGAGCAGCTCCTGAAATGTTAATTTGAAGTCTGGTTTCTTAGTTTTTGGATCAGATTATACTGTCAGGAACACGCTGTTGCTTCTCCTTTCCCTGTCAGTCTCCTCTTTTTATTACAGTTAGGGCTGGTGGTACGTTTTCTAGACTTCCAGTTTTCCTGCACCAGCACCCCACTTCAGTTGTTATAGAAAGTCAAAAGCCAAATTCCTCAGGGACTCAGCTTTTCCTCAGCAAGAAGGCAGCATGAAGGGGAGTGTGGGAGGGTCTGTCTGACAGGAATGGAAAAAAAGACAAAAAACAGACTAGGAGATACTGGAAGCAGGAATTTGGTGAGATTGAGGACTTAGGAAGAGGAAATAAAAGAAATTATCACCAGGACTGATGGGGCCAAGAGACAGGTTAGAGCCAGCTGACAAATGGAGGGCAGAGTGAGATGAAGCTTTGGGATACTGGAGAGATGGGGCTGGCTGGTGAAAGAGACTAGGATTAGAAACCAGAATGGTAGGGATAAGGGTCTGACAAGGATCTGGGACCAAGGACTGGAAGGGAATGACCAAATATGGAAACTTGCTAGAGACTGGTATATAAAGTAAGATCTGTACTTAATGAGCTGCACAAGGAGGTGAGGCTAAGCAGAGTAGGAGGAGTGGAACAAAAGGAGAGATTTGAAGGAAAAGTAGGGAACAGCTAAACCAAGAGACTGCGAGTATGAGGGAGAGGGCTGAACCAGACAGACTTTGATAGCTCCACTGGCAGAGCTCTGAGGATGGAGTTGTAGACCTCAGCCTTGCTGATGACCACGTACAGAGCAATATAATTTAATTGATGGACTTTCTTTTTTTTGATGTTTGCTTTTTAGAGAAGGAAGTGGTAGACATAAAAATGAAGGCTAAAAGAGTTAAGAGTGCAAATGAAGAATTCAGACATTAGAAAATGTCAGATTTAAGATTGTTTATGTAATCTTAATACTTTCTTTGTTCCACTCACCTACCCTTACACCTTTGCACTAAAAGAGTATTAAATCATATGATCATACAGAAACTTCAGAAGTGGGATGATGTAAACCACTAGGAACCACAAAAGAAAAGATAATTAATTTGTGTCCAATAATAAGAGAAGTCTTGAGGAGAGTAGAGGAGTTTGATGAGGAAAGCCTTGCTAATCAAATAAATACAGTATTTTTGCCACTTGGAATATTTTTCGTATTCTTTTGGACTTTCAAAATGAAATTATTCGTCTTTGTATTGAATACACCTAAACAGATGAGAAATTTTTGTCATCGTGCATTAGGAGCATAAAACTATGCAGATGGGAAGTTGTTTTGCAGATTGGGTCTGTCCTATAAACATTTGCCTTTCTCTGAAACTGGCTGCCCTAACAGGTTATTTATATACATCACGGTCTTAACTAATGTCTTTGCAAGTAGTGAACATTGCCATGAGGCTTGAATTATTCCATAAGTCCATACAAGTATAAAGAATATTACAATTATATTCTGTCCCTACAAAAGCATTGTTATCGTGAGTCTACCGATGACCACAGTAGCTCTTCCTTGAAGTTAGCACACACTTTGACAGTTAGGGAAAAGTCAGTGCAAAGCCAAGGTAAAAAAAATTAAAATATATCTAAATGAAGAAAGAAAGGAATTTCAGGCAAAGTCCTTATTCACATGGCTATATAATTATTTCTTATATTTATTGAGTGATATATTTGCTTTTTAAAAAGATCTAACTTGTCTTTTTCTGTTATCATGCATACTGGACAGAAAAAAAATCATAATTAATTATAACACTGTTTTATTCAGACTGCTTACAATTTCAGTATTATCAACCAACATATATTTTCTTCCACTGCAAGCAACAGGCAAAAATGGCTTCATGTCCAATCTTGATTTATTTTTAAAATGCTTATATGTTTAAGGCCAGATTATAAAAGCAGAATGGACTATTGAGATAATCTGGTCTGATCTCCTTTAGAATACACATTACATGACTTTCTTGGATTAATTCTTGTTTAAACTGGAGTATATTGCCTAGAAAAACATTCATTCTTTGTTTACAAATCACTTGCAGACATTACATCCTATTATACCTCTGTCCTGGGTTCAGCTGGTATAAAATTAATTTTCCTCCTAGTCACTGGTATAGTGCTGTGTTTTGGGTTTAGTATGAAAATAATGTTGATAACACACTGATGTTTTAGTTGTTGCTAAGTAGTGCTTACACCAGTCAAGGACTTTTCAGCTTCC